TCACATAGTAGCACAGAGGCCTATGCTTCATCAAGTCTATGGTATCTTCTTCCTCATATTCATCAATTTCAGTTTCCTGTCCAAATTCACAGGGAAGCACAGATACCACATTGCAGTTTAGGTTGAACGAAGACTCCCCCTCTAATTCGAAGTTATCCGTTATCATATCTTCGTCTTCTTCTGGGCCTGGAGTGTATTCCTTTGGTTCATCTAGTTGTACTTCAGAGAAAAGCCTCCTATTAACTGGGGGTTTGTCTTCAGCTTGATTTTTTGGTGTGGGTTTGTTGGTGCTAGATTCACCTTGGTTCTTTGTTGAAGTTGCCCCTTTATTTTCCACATCTTCCCTCTCAGCCTTTTGAATCCTCTGTTGCCTTCGCCACTGGGATCTCGACATGGGGTTCCTTCCTTTGTAGTTCTCTAATCTTACCTCTTCCCTCTTTGCTATGTTGAATTGCCTTATGTATGTCATAACATGGCGTGCGTTTCGTTCGGTGTTTCTCCATCTGTCTTTGCCTTTGTCATTTCTGACTTGCAGCCATCTGTCGGTTGGCACTTCAGCAGGGAGTTTGAACGTCACTCTTTGAGCACCCTTGGGATGAGGACTATCAGGCCTTCGTTGTTTGTATTTGCTATCGAAACGTGGGCCCATCTGAACAGTTTCTTGATGGTTCCAGCAAGGGGCGAAGGGAATTGTTTCGAAGGCTCTGGCCATGCTTTGATCATACACAGCAGAACACCTTGGGCATATCAAGCACTTGGTTGCCCCTTTGTAGCAGCGAAACATAAATTCCAGCAAACTTTCTCCAGCCTTAGGATAACACCTGAATAGCTGGTTATCCTGGTGCCAATTGTTGCCAGTTCGAGCCCTCTGTACCCTCTCGAAGTTCGCAGCGATTCTCTGATTGCAGAGGATGCTGCACCTAGGGCATAGTATTATTCATGTATCTCCCTTGTGGCACGTCATGAGGTAATCCTTGAGACTAGCATCTCCAGCATGATTATCCTCCATTTTATACTTCTCTTTTTCTAAGTATCTTTCTACCTCCTCCATCTCAGAGCGAGGTCTCTCCATATCCACCATGTTTACCTCAACATCCTCCCCCTTAGATTCATCATCTCCCCATCCTGTGGGTTTTATATCTTCAATGTGGACTTTTGAACTCTCTGGGGCAGAATATTTGACCAAATAGTCAAATTTTCCACTGGGTTCCCCTAAAGTGTCCCATATTTCTTTCTGAGGGGAAGTTGGCTTCGTGATTTGGACTTTCTCCAATTCCAGCCTCAGGCCTTCAGTGACCTGTGTCAACTCTTGATTTTGATTTTCCTGGCCTTCAGTAGCCTGGATTTCTTTTGCAACAGCTAAAGGTGTTGCTTCAATCAAAGTCTCTGGTTGCTTCTGGACGTCTTCAGTGACCTCCTTATCGACTTTGACTATCACTCAGCTTTCGTTTTCAGTACCTTTCTCTCCTATTGGGGCATCACTTTGGTCAGCTTCCACCATGTTAATCTCTCCAATGCATGCAGGCTCGGAGTAATTGGTGTCTGCGACGTCCAAGGGATCTTTGTCCACTTTCATTTTTGCTTTATCAGCAAACTTCAGTCTGCCATCTTTAATTGCATTCTGAATTAGGTCCCTGAAAAGAAAACACTGTGAGGTTTTGTGGCCTAGGAAACTATGATATTTGCAAAATCCTCTTTTCTTTCTTTGATCTAAAGGAGGTATTTTGACATTTGATGGCACAATGAGTTGGCCATCTTTGACAAGTAAATCAAAAATCTCGTCACATTTAGTGACATCGAAGGTATAAACCTTCTTTGGGAATTTGTCACTTTTCTCATTTTCAACAATCTCTTTCCCTTTTGTGGGAACTAATAATTTGCAGGAGTAAGGTGGTGCCTGTTTTAATTCAGCGAGGTCGATTTCGACCTCTTCGAATTCAAATTCAGGATAATCTTCTGCTTCCTCAGTTCCAACATAGGAGATCCTTTCCTTCTTGTTATTTTTAAAGACTCTGGCCTTTTCGGCCTTTAGCCTTTCGACCTGTCGAACCCTGTCGGCTAACTGAGCCATGTCCCTCAAATATTGAGTGTCTAGTTTCTTTCGAATAGAGTAATCCAAGCCACCAGCGACCATTTCGACTAACTCATGTTCAGGCACCACTGTGTAACATCTGGATTTCAAAAGCCTGAATCTATTCAGATAATCATCTATGGGTTCAGTGAACTTTCTCTTGACACTGGCTAATTCCTTCAAGCTTATTTTTGACTGTCCCATGTAAAACTGTTCATGGAATAATCTCTCCAAAAGAGCCCAAGTATCAATGGACCCAGGAGGCAAAGTGGTGAACCATGTGAAGGCATTTTTAGTCAGGGAACTTGGGAAATATTTGATCCTGAGGTCTTCATTATTGGCTATATCTCCCGCTTCGGTTAGATATCTGGCTATATGTTCGACTGTTGACTCAATGGTATCCCCAGCGAACTTTGTAAACTTAGGGACTTTATATCCCCTTGGTAAATCAGTATGCATTATGTAATCTAATATAGGAGAAGCATAATTTGGCCTTCTAATTCCTGTGTTGAGGCCATTCTGGGCCATGACTCTCTCTATCATGGTGGTTAAATTATTTTCTGCCAAGATGTTATCGTTTCGAATTCTATGAACGACTGCATCAGCATCTTGATTTCGACCCACCATGACAACCCCCCTAGGTTGTTCTTCTCGAAACTCTGGGACTTCCAACCTTTCGACCCTTGCCCCTGGTTCCATAATTTCTCTTTGTGGGCCTGGGATCATTGGGGCTTCTAGCCTTTGTGCCCTTGCCCTCAAGTTAACTTCTTCTCTAGGTGGTCTATAGGTTGGGTCGTTAGCAACTTGTTCCATAATAGGTATGTTTGCTCGAACTCCCGCCTGATTCTGCCTACGCCTCTCTGGGGGAGCAAAGAAATCTGCTATTGACTCATGTTATCTGCGTTTTCTCTGTTTGTCACAGTCACATTTTGTACTATTGGGGCAAATATTTCCTGCATAGTTTGTGCTAATACCCCTATCATATTATGGTTACTGTCATCCATCAATTGCCTAAAAGCCAACTGGTTTTCTGTGGTTAAAATAGGCATTGCGCTATAACCCACTGACCCTTGGTTATTTGTCATAAACTAATTCGCCCTAGACCCAGACCCTAATTGTGGTGATGAATTCGATGTGGAATTGTGTAAACCTGCCATAAAAGATGTTGGCATTCCATAAGAGGGATTTCTGGTTCTATTACCATCGAAACCAGGCGGTCTAGTTAGTGGGGTGGCGAAATGGGTTTGTGTCCCTGATGGTGGAACGAATCCCCCAGGATAACCAATGGTTCCAGTATTTCCTAAGATCGAACTATTAGTTGATATGCCACTTACTCCATTAGTGGCTATATTACTGGTAGAAGATGCAACAGACTGTGCATTCGAAGGGATCACATTAGACGTTTCCATCGAAGCGGACACATTAGTGCCTGTTGTATGTGGGGCATTTTGTTCCCCTTGTTGATTGTCAGAATTAGACATCTTGTTCAAACGTTTTCTTCTGGATAAGGGTTGGTTGCTGTTGGTTATTTTACCACTTCTTAGGTTCATAAAACAACAAACTTATCACTCAGAGGGTATTTTTATAATGGTTACGTCTCAACAATCTTTATTTCTGTTCTAAATTCCGTAATATCCAACGATTGGTCCCACCGGTTGTGCCAATTTGTTTACAGTGATTTCTGGTAAACAACCGCTAGTCCTCCAAACTATCGAATAAACTTGCTGACTGTTATTCAATTTCTCTGGTAACTCGCAGGATCGACTAGATTGATCCTAGGACGTGTTGGTTATTAGGGTAACTCTCATGATCGAACTGGTATTCATGGTTGGTATTTAGAATGTTGTGTAGGTGTTTAACTTATTTCGATTTCTCTATTAAAGATCTAAAGGTGTGATCAAATAAATGTACGCGAAACTAAATTGCATGAATAAAGGTCAATTGTAAAGACATGTAAAAACTGCATAAAAGACAAATAAATGACTTCGAATCATAAAAACGGTTAATGTAAAAGATTCGAAATATGAAGAAAGCGTTTAAATGCAAGAAAACTGTAAAATGGCTTTAAGTGAAAAAGGTGTTCGAATGATAAAAACTTGAAGATAAAGGCATGAAATGTATAACAGTTTCTGAAATGTAAAGTATTTGAAATGGAAAGAAAACATTTAAATGTAAGGCATCAGTGAAAAGATTTCGAATGAAAACACTTTAAATGCAAAAACTTGTAAATGGTATTGACATAAAGATAAAGGAAAGTACTGGAAATGATAAAGAGTTTTCATTAAATCATAAACATGTGGTGTTATCATACGTACATTGCTCTTGCATTCGTTTCCCTAGCCATGTGGTAATTTGAATGTTTACTGAGTTTTTTTTTTGTACAATAGATATGACACACGAAATCCTAATGCTAAGACTTCTATTTATACTACTTCGACCATAACGGTCATGCTATAAGATTCTGCCACGTTCAGAACATGCAGAGCAATGCCTCTCTCTTGCTTCCACGCGTCTTCGAATGCTCCAGCGCATATATTTCAAATTTCGAACATCCCGCTTGCATTTGAATTTCAAATGTTTGGGCACTTCTTCGCTTCGAACGCATTTCTTAGACACAGCCTTGTTATCATTTCGAGACTTCTTTGGATATATTTTCATAACTATCACTCGAAGCTCCAAGCTTTGATATGCCCATTCGAAGCACTGCTTCTACCATTTCGAAACATGACGTTTTGTTTCATTTCAATCGAAACGTCCAATTTACTTTGCTTCTAATAATATCATCAAAATCTTCAGCCAACACATCCCAGCTTTGATAAAAATATTTCGGGATGTACAAGGTGTATATTGTATTGGAACCCCAAGTATATTTTTTCTCGTGGTCTTAAATCCTTTAATAATGATAAAGATGTTTTGCATTTTGGTAAAGATGTGATAGAGTTTGAGATAATAGATGTATATGTTGAGCACATTGTAAACAATCATGAAATAATAGATCCAAGTGATATATGTACCAACTTTGATGATGATGAAGAAGTACAATGCACTGGTGTTAAAAATGCAAATTATGTTGATGAAGAAGTGAATATTCATAATGAGCATGTTGAAGAACGTGTAAGTCCCATTATTGATGGAAATACTGAGCTTGTTGAAGAACATGTAAGTCCTAATGTTGGTGGAAATACTGAGCTTGTTGAACAAGGAATAAATGAAGAATATGTTGCAAGTGATGATAGTTATGAGGATAGTAAATTTCAATGTACTGAAGAGTCTGAGGAGATGGAATGGATTAAAGTACTACCCCCTGAGACTCTAGGTGAGCTTTTCAATGGCAACAAAGAGAAAGAAGCAATTAATATTGATCAAGAAAAATGTGAAGATTTTGACCATTTATATATCCCTCGTGAGAGTGATGATGATGATGAGGGAGTGAGGTTTCCCACTAATAAGATTGGTTAGGGTGTTAGGTTTTATTTAAGGATGATGTTTACCAACAAGGAGGTGATAAGGGATGTTATTGTAGCAACTGGTTTTTAAATCAAGAGTCGCCACTATTAGTTTTTATCCTAGGGAAGGGAACCTAACAGAAAACCCTAATTCGCAGACAGAGATTCTAGGTTTCAGACTCAATTAGACGAAAGGAAGGTATTTGGCACCTTTCATCTACCTTGTTCACAAGGATACTAGGTTTTAGGTTTGGGGTAAACAGGGTTTTAAGTTTTTATTAGCAAGACTCGCCACGATTTTAGATCGCATGCCTACGTATACTCTTATGATAAATCAGAGTCCCAGTTCGTAGTTCGTATGGGTTGGTGTTTTTTAGGGGTTTGCAAACATATTTAGATCACTTCGCACTCGGTCGGGAGTAGTGATTGCCAAGATTTTGACTGAGCGCGTAGTAAGCCAAAACTAGTTTGAAACCCATTTGTAAAAAGACTGTTGATTAGTTTAGTTTATTGCGAAAATAGTTTTAAGATTGGTTGAGTAATTTTTAATCGTATTATTTGCAAAGATCTAGATTAATGCATGATTGAAAAAAAATTTAATGCAAATGTATAGAAAACAATACATGAATTTGTGAATAAAAATAAGTTATTTGCTAATATTATAATATCTATATATAATAAATAATAATAATAATAATAATAGATAAAATATGATAATAAAAATTAATATTAATTATTATAAATAAAAAGGAAATAAATAGTTGATGATAATAATAAGAATAAAACAATAATATAAAAGAAACAATAAAAAATAATAATTTAAGTAAATCTGGAGGGGGTGCGTTTCCTAATTGATAAGTAAAAATGGGGGTGTCTTAAGAGCAGGCCCGGCTGGTCCAAATGTTTTTGGACGGAGGGGGTGTAGATTGATTTACAGTTCAGTAATTAGGGAGAGCAGGGGGTGTGAATAACAGCGGGCCTAAGCCCATTACGGATTGAAGGGGGTCCAGCCAATTGTGTGTGGTGCGAGTGTATGGCAGCTACGGTGACTTGGCCTTATGGCCGTCCACAGGTGATCCAATAGATAGCATTGAGGGAGCACCCTAATTATGGTATACACGCGCATACAAGTTTATAATACAACATAATACTGTTTTTTCATCTTTCGTTTTTATTTTTCATTTTTATTTTTACAGTAACCTCATCATCTTCTCTCGTCGTTCTTCTCTCCCTCTTTCTCCAAAACCCTAGCGCCGCTAACCTCACGGCGGCACTCGCCAAACCCCAAACACGAATCCGACCACCCCAAAACCCTCCCAAAATCAAACAATCAAAAAGGAACGAGAGCTAAGTGTTTTTACCCTTCTTGCGATTTCTGTGTTTTGAATTCTTGAGCGTTGCGATTTCTAAACTTGCTTCGCTTGCTTCATTTTGCAGGTTGCGATTGGTTGAAGACAGTGACGGTGAAGGTGGTTCAAGCACGCGATTAGGGTTTCCGATCTAGAAGATCTAATCGCCTCCTCTTTTGGGCCTTCAATGACAAGGGTTTGTTTCAAGATTTTCTTCTCTCAATCTCTCCGTCTCAGAATTTCTTCTCCCTCTTTATGTGAAAAATCCGCCCCTATTCTGTCTTCAAACTTTTTCTTATATAGTTAAGAATTTTAGGGTTTTGTAGATCTAAGAATTACTGTTATAAGCTTAGATTTAGGGTATTAGAGCAAATTAGAGATTTGTATTTCATTGTAATTGGAGGTTCTGATAATGATTTGTAATATTTGATTTTGTATAATATTTTTTCCAGATTTTATGTTAGATTTGATTTTGAGATTTTGTCATTTTGTAATATTTGATTCTGTAATATATATTTGTGTATTAGATATTGGTTTTGCGGTTTCTGGATTTGCTGTATATTTTTTGTTGATTGTAATAGATTTTGGGGATCTTGTATGAAGATTTGGTTTATATTTATTTTTACTTAATCTGAACAGTATTTGTTTTTCTTGCAAAGAGATCATGCACTTATTTTAGTGAAGATTAGATATGAGATTTGATTTACTGTTAAATCTACACAGTACTTGTTGTAGCGATAAAAAATGTAGCGGGGTAAATCGGAGATCGAATTATTGATTAATTCGTCTCACAAAAGCAAGAGTCGCCACCGCGCTTTATTATTTCCAAGGGAAAAGGGGAAAGAGCGAAATAAAACCCTAAATATGCAATGTAAAATAATACTTTTAAAAGTAATAAAAATACAAGGCGTTTTTGAAAAAGAGATCTATGGTTCGGGGGTTGGTTATACAGTGGGAAGGTATTAGCACCCAATGTATCTATAGTACTCTATAGGAACCTTTTGAAATATTCGTTTATTAAAATTCGTTTGTTTGATCAAAATAAATTGTTTTGGCCGAAAAGGGGTACGGACGGGTTTTTGAAGGCACGACGACTTAATGTCGAAGTTTTTGCTTAAAAGGTATGAGTTTTGAAAAGATTGAATATTTGGGGAAAAATTATCCTAAGTTTTAATGAAATGAAGATGCTCGCGCGATTGGACTTGAGGACATGAAGTCAACAAATTTAATCGTTTTTTCCCTTGGATTTAGACGCAAACGGAATAATCAACTAAAGATGGAATAATTAAACAGAAAATTATGCAGATAATGACATACAACAATTAAATAAACGACTAAATGACGTGAGCATGCATTTTTATATTTTTGTTTAATATATGCAAAACAAGAGAATTAATTAAGAAAAATAAAATGTTTTTTAAGGCTTTTATATGTTTCTATTTTTTATGTTTTTGTATTAGTATTAACTAAGGCGAGGGAATTAATTAAAAGAAATAAAATGTTTTTAAGTTTTTTATTTTATATGTTTTTTAGTATTAATATAAAATGTTATTTTTAAGAGTCATTAAATAATTAAACTAAATTAAAACTTAAAAGCTATTAATTTAAATCTAATTAAAAAAAGAATACTAAAATTATTAATTTAAACCTAAAGTTTAAACTAATAAAAATGATCCAATTATTTAAAATGTTTTGATTGAATTATCTCTATTTAATTAAACTTATAATTAAAACTAAACTAATAAAATTCTAAATGGGCTAAAGTAGTCAAATAGAAAGAAAATGTATCAAAATTAAAAGGAAGTAAAATAATAAACCAAAGTGGGCTAGAGGATTTTGAGAGGGCCCAAATCTGATTAAGAAGAAGACAGAAACGGGGGTGTATAATGAAAACGCCGGGCTTAGGCAGGAAGCAAGTCTGGTCCAAACATAATTTTGTTAAGGGTTAAACATTGTTTTAATTTTGGGATAAAGGGATTAGGGTTTGGTTACGCAGTGCCGTTCTTCTTGTTCATCTTCTTCGCTCTCGCGTTCTTCTTCGTCTTTGCCTCTGAGTTCTCCTTGCCCGAGCCACCAACACTCTCCATCTTCTTCTTCCCTCCAGCAAAGCATTAAGGTGACAGATTCACGGTACGATTTCGTTTCCATTTCGTTAGGGTTTGTTGATTACTGCATGTTGATGATTTTTGTGTCCATTTCTGATTTCGAACTTGTTAATGATTATTTGAGGTTTTGAAAGAAAGAGAAGGGGACATGTTACCTGGAGACGGAGGAAGGGAGGTTGGGTGTGCGTAGGAGGCTCCGGCGGCGGGGAAGACGGTGACGGCGTTGCGAGCTTTGCTTGGTTTCCTGGTTTGTCTTCTTTGTCCCTTTTGTTTAGTGATGAAAACTGAAAACGAACTTTGTCTTCTCCTCTTCTTTACTGCGCTTCTGTTGCTCTGGATGCTTTGAATGCTTTACTGTTTCCTTCGTTGTATGCCTTTTCTCTTCTTCTTCACTGTGTTTCAATTGCCTTTCTTTAGTGGCCTATGATGAATACTGAGGCCTTTGATGCTTTGAACATGCTAGTGTTAAAATACTGTTTTGACTAGCTTTCTTCTTCTTCCTTCTTGCCTTGCTACTGTCACTTTCTTACGGCCTATGATGGATGTGTCTGAGGCCTTTGTGGGTTTGGACATTGTTTGATAAAAGGCTTGCATTGTTCTGGGTTTTGCTTTGCTTGGATGGACAGGGGTTATGGTTTTTGTTGGAGATAGCAGGTTTTATGTTTTATGGTTTTTAGGCCATCTTGGTTGTGTTTCGTTTATGCAGGTTTAGGCCATGTTGGTTTGTGGCCTTGGTTTTGCTTTGTGTTACAGGTTATGGTTTGAAAGGGCTTACAACTTTGGCTGGACAGTTTACTGGTTAGGCTTGGAATGGTTTAGAGGTTTTATGGTTTATGACAGTAGGTTCTTACTGGTTTTTTGGTTTGGCCATGAGTTTGGTTTTGTGATGACTTTTCTGGTTTTATGCCATTACAGGTTTTATGGTTTTATGCAGTAGGTTCTTGAAACAGGTTTGTGGCCTTTGTATTGGATTGATAGGTTTGATGGTGTTTATGCTGGTTTATTGGTTTAGGCCATATTTGTTTTGGCTTTTCTGGTTTTCTGCAGATTATGGTTATATGGTTTTGGTTTTACAGTAGGTGGAAGGTTTTTTGGCTTTGAGACCTTAAGAAAATGACTTTGTTTGTTTTGACAGTTTTTGAGTGTTTGAAGGTTTTTTTTCAACAGGTTGTGAACTCCCTTTGTTTTGAAGGGGTTTGTAATGTTATAACAGTTGCTGGCCTCTCTATCCTGGAGGTTTACGTTACAAGTTTTGAAATACTTTTACTATATTTTTGATATTCTGCCATCTCTACTGCTACATCAGTTTGTCTCTATTCCTTTCTATGCTTTCTTTTCCTCTTATTGTATGCTGCTGCAGTTTGTTTTGTATCCAATTCTGCCTAAGCCAAAACCTGTAAAAACCAACTCTTCCTCTCTTCTCTCTCTTAAGTACAGTTTGATACATTAAAATGTGATATGTACTTACTGTTATGAAAAAGCACAATGCTAGAAAATGATGAGAATATAAATACATTATGCTTGCACATTTGGTTTTAAAACTGCATGCCTCTTTGTCT